ATCTCTAGCACTCCTTCTCTGAGCAGAAAGTTTTAAAGGACAGCTGAGCCTGCGACTACAGAGGAGTGCAAGTGGGAAGAGGCTTCTTTTCACCCCTCTCCTCTGTAGCCACGGTCTCAACTGTCCTTTTAAAGACCCTACCCCCCAACTGTTGGCCAGGCTTTAGGGAGAAGCACTAATGGGGGTGTAGAGGAAGCTCAGAGCTTCAAATGATAATCTATTGATCACTGCTGGGATTTCAGAGGCCTCTGGGAAAGGACTTTGGAATTTTCCAGAAAGAAGCTGGCAAATCGTTAAACACTAAGCAGAATTGTAGAAACGGGTGTTTTATATCTCATTTAATGGTCAGAGAAAGGAATTTCCTAATGAACAGGCGTTCCAGCACCAGAAAACATCAAATGCACTGTTAATTACGATGGTACAAACCAGAGCTGTCAGAGTTAAAATTTATATTCCACCTTTCTGTTTCAAAGAAATGCGTTCAGTAGTTTATAATGGTTTATGATTTTTAGTAATTTTAAATACGGAAACTCAAGTTAAATTCTTCTTTAAGTTTAAAATGCTTTAACATACTGATATTGAGTTATTGGAAACTTTAAGCAATATACATATATACCTTTTCAGCAGCTCATTGTTTTAAGGCATGTTTTCTTGCATAGAGAAATAGTCATATATTTAATGAGCTGAACTGGTAAAATGCCCAGTGAAAAGAATTTAATAATTGGTTAAATAAGATGTCTAGATGAGGCTAAAAATGACTAATTGTGTTGAATGAAAGTGCAACTGTGCTCTCTGCAAAAAATAATTTAAGCTTGAAAAAAACCTCTTTTCCTATTTGTTGTGTTCTCTTAAAAGTTAAAACATAACTTTTAATATTATGTCTACAGCAAAGAATAACCATTAAAGAATAAATACTTCTGAATGTTTATCATAAAAGAAACATCTACCTAAATTCTTAGTTCCCCAATAAGGTACTTTGCTTAAGACTAGCAAACTGCTAACAAGCAAAGGTTGGGAAATAGCCAAAAACATTTTCAAACAACTAAGGAGGTATATTAATCATGGGCATCTGTCAATTAAAAAGCCAAATTAAAATGCAGAACTTATACGTTATACAAGAAGGACCCCTACTGGCCAAAGTAAAATAGCATGTTTTACAAAACCAAAAACTTTAATTTAGATTTAATATTTTTAAAAACTCAGCAAAAGATTAAAATAAAGAATAATAGGTAGATTCAAGATATCTACAGAAGCTTTATGCCATATGCTACTTTGGAACATTAGGAAATACATGTAAAGGGTTTAATTTTTAAAAATACTATTATAATTTTATATTTTTCAATATTCAATATATGATTAATAGACGTCTAGTAGAAATAGCCCACAAAAAGTTATTAAGAGTGCTTCTATAAACATATATGCACATATCAATATAAAGAAACAATTTTTATAATAAAAACAGTTAAATTTTATACTGAGAATGAACTCAGCCTGAAAGTTCATTCAAAGGTGAACAAGTCTGGGGAAAGAGCCAAAAAGATGCATAAATCATTTTCAACAAGACAAGTACCTGCTTTGCAAGTTGAAACGTGGCCAAGTAGCATCTTGTTTGTCAAATGTGTAATTAATTATTGTTAAAACAAAGAAAACCAGACTAAGCATGTGTAAATAATGTCAGCAGTGATGTAAAGTTAGGACAAGCGACAAAAGCATATAAGCAAAATCCCTGCTGTTATAAGTGTCCCTTATTCGAATAAAACTTTTTAAATATGTTTTACTGCCTGGATATTTTCTCTTACTGTGTAACTGAAATTGGCTACCCACACAAGTCTCTCAGGGTGTTGCATTCAGGGGATGGGTGGACAAGTAGGGTTCTTTGGTCCCCTCCCCAAGCTCCAGCACTGCTGCTTCTCTTAGTCTGGCAGGTTAGAAACTGGCAGGAAAGTTTTCAAAAGGTAAGTGACCTGGCAACTACAGTTGCTGTCTCAGCTATCCTTTTAAAATTCCCACATTTCTACTTGACCAGATTGCAGTGGTGGTTGGGGGGTGGGGGAGTAAGGAGAATTCTTTGCTCCCCCCCCCCCCAAGCTCCAGTGTGGCTTCTCCCCACAGTCTGGCTGGCCAGTTAGAAGATGGCAGGAAAGTTTAAAGAGGACAGCTATGGAGGCAAGCAATGGAGGATGGGCAGGAGATGGGACCCCCCCCCTGCAAGTCTTGCAGGGCCCCCCACTTGGTATAGTATATTCCATTCCTGTGAAAAAGTGACATTGCATGTTCTGCCACAAAGGAGAAGCTGAAAGAGGAGGCACTTGAATGAGATACTCTCAACCACTCATGCATCTGTGGAAGTGGCCTCTGGCTCAAGAAACCTTATAAATTAGTCAGCCTGTCCAGGTGGCATGGACTCATTGTTATTTGGTTTTTCACAGGGACATCTCGATCCCTTCTAACAGGAACCTGTCAGGAGGAGAAGGGAGAAATTAGACCATTATTTACCCTTCAGCCCACCATTTGCAAAACTCCCAGCTGACCCCTCCACCCACCTCCCACTTGATCTCAAACCTACTGATGCAGGTGGTACCATCTTGAGACAGAGTCAGGGAACCCTCACAGGCACATTTGAAGCCTCCTGGTGTGTTCACACAAATCAATGAGGAGGGACATGGATTCATCCGACTGGGCTCACATTCATTGATGTCTAAAGGACATTGGGGGTGGCAGAGAAAAAGAAAAGAACTATTTGAGCATTGCCCACAGATGAAAAGAAAGGCAGCAAGACAGGAGGAGGAGATTGGGGGGGGGGGGAGAAACAAGCCTTCGAAGTCCCAAATTGGCATTGCTTCTCTACTACCCTTTTAAAAACTGGTACCAAGACAGGTAAATTAACGAGATCTGACAAATTTGTTGCCTTTACAAAATAACTATGACTTAGGGAAAAGACAGAACAGAACAGCCAAGGCAGATACTGTGAAGCAGCTGAATAATAATTACTAAAATATTTATACTCCACCTTATCTTCACAACCTCAAGGTGGCAAAATCTGCAGGGGTGACTACTTACTGGATTTCTTACCCCCCTGATTTCAGGCCTAATAGTTCATGCCCCTTTCCTTCACCTCAGTTAGAGAGAAGGCAACACTGGTCAGTATATGTGCTGGGACATGGCAATGGGGAGGGGGGAGCCAAACCCGGGTCCCCCTGTTCACACACACAAGTCATTAATTTTTAGTTTAATTTTTTATTGGGGGGCTGCCCCACACACACAAAAAGATTTGCCCCACAAGCCAAAGGATCCTGGCTACGAGCCTACCCATACCTCACCCCTGCAATCTGGCTGCAGTGACCCATGCAATGGTCACTTCCAGACTAGATTACTGTAATTCTCTCTGTGTGGGGCTTCCCTTTGACTCTGCTTCAGAAGGTTCAGCTACTGCAGAACGCAGTGGTGTGGGTGTTGATGCAACTGCCTGTACAGGCAAATATTTGCCCACTGGCTGCCTATTGAATACCGGATCCATTTCAAGGTGTTGGTGCTCACCTTTAAAGACCTACACGGCCAGGGGCCTGCATTTGAGACCGCCTCTCCCCATGTGAGCCCCATAGAACATTGCGTTCTACGAGCCAGCACCTCCTAGTAGTCCCTGACCCCAGGCATGTCTGATTTGCCTCAACTAGGGCCGGGGACTTTTTGGCCCTGGACCCTGCCTGGTGGAATGAGCTACCTTATGAGCAGTGGACCCTCTAAGCTAAGCTCACAGTGTTTTAATTTTATCTATTTTATTTGTTTAATTTGTTTCCTGCCCTCCCCTCCCCTCCAAGGCAGGCTCCGGGCAGCTTACAGAATATATATATGTTAAAACACAAAATATCAATAAAACCACAACATATAAAATCATAGGTGCTAATAGTGCTAATAAGTGATGGCGGCATTCTCTCGGCATCCAGACGGTCAACTACCACCACAGTCTGGGTTCTTGCCGGGCTGTTGGTTAGTAAGTTGGTGCTGGTTATTGGGGCCATAAGTATTGGGAGGCGGCACCCTAGTTGAAGGCCTGGTGGAAGTAGGGCTGCCAAGTGGGGGCAGGTAAACCCCCGCTTTGGAGTCCTGATTCCCGCCGCCGCGGAATCGGGCCCTGGGGGAACTCCGCCCCCAAAGCGCAGCATGGCTTGACGCAACCACATCAATCACGTTGGGGGCGTGGCCCCAATCGTCGGAGGGAAAACTCTATGCTTTTCCCTCCGACAATCGGGGCCACGCCTTCAACGTGATCGACGTTGTGTGTCACTTCTGGTGATGTGCTGGCGGCGTGTGCACGCGCATTGGCGGACGGCTCCCAGAGCCCACCGAGGCTCCCCCGCCAGTAAGAAAAATTGACTTGGCAACCCTAGGTGGAAGAGCTCCATTGTACAGGCCCTGTGGAACTGCAAAGGGTCCCACAGGGCCCTGATGTCATCCAGGAACTCATTCCACCTGTATGGGGCTGCCACAGAGAAGGCCCTGGCCCTCGTCACAGCTAGCCCGGCTTCTTTAGGGCCTGGAAGGGCCAAGACGGTTTTGGGACCCCGACCTTAGTGCTCTCTGGGGAACATGGGAGGAAAGGCGGTTCCTTAGGTAAGTAGGTCCCTGACCATATAGGGCTTTAAAGGTAAGAACCAGCACCTTGAACCGAATCCGATATGCTCTAGGCAGCCCGTGCAGTGCTGTTAGGGCAGGCTGAATGTGCTCCCACATAGGGAGACACAACCTCACCACTGCATTCTGCATTTTAGCCTCTGGCTCACGCATTTTTGTCTTAGCTCAGGAAGGATGGCTCCAGAGCAAACTGATAAATGCAGTAGCCAAATCGCTCACTCACAGCTTTAATGTCAGTAGCTCACAAAGTAGAATTTTTGCTCACAAGACTCCACAGCTTAGAGGGAGCATTGCTTATGAGATCAGGGCCCAGTGGGACCTGTTGCAGTTTAGCAGGGCCTGTAAGACAGAGATCTTTCGCTGAGCTTTTAGTTGAGGCAGCGGGCAACCACTTTGATATGTATGGCCTTTCCTCCAGTGACCGCAGATCCTAAAAGCCAGATTGGGACCACAATATTATCCATTGAGGCACATTCAGTCTGTTGATGATTTTATTGGTTTTAATGGATTGTTATAATATGTCTTTAACAGTGAATCTGCATTAACTGCAGACCTTTATGTTGGCACCCACCCTGAGACTACAATGTGGGGAGGGCAGGATCTAAGTCTAAATAAATAAATGAATAATAAATAAATAAATAAACTGAGCACATGAAATGCAGTCAAGGTGTGGAAGCCAGAGAACAGGGAAAGGAACATTAATTAAAACACGGCAAAAACATGACAAGAAGTGAGAGTGAGACCTTCAAAAGGTTTTTAAAAGTGTGACATATGTCACAGGTTGCCCCCAGGTTACAAGTTAGTTACTGTTTCTAGGTAGGTCTCACCTTGGCAAATAGGCAAGATGGTGCTCCATTCTCTTTCCTTGGCATTGCAGGCAATAGCAGAAGGACCCTCCAGTGTGTAACCTTGCTTGCATTCAAAGAACACCAGTGATTTGCACCGTACAAAGTAGGCATCTTTGACCATTGGGACTGGACCACATAGCGTATCTGTGGCGATCAAAGAATACAACAAAGGACTTTACCAGGAAGTGGATAATTTTTGAAGGCCGCTGTATTTCTCAGACATAGCTTTCATGCACCGTATCTCCCGAAACAAAAGGGAAATGTCAAAGAAAAAAATTATGATGATGATATCTTCATGAGAAGTCAGTGTGTGTGCACTGAGATAATTGTACGATGCCAGACACAAAATAGTTGCCTCTCTGTGTGCACAGGCAACAGTAAACACTTTTTTCAAAAACGGTTGATACCAAAAAAGTGTGACAGTGCATGAAAGATAATCTCCCCAAACTCCTGCATAAGCCTGGATGTTGCTGAGACTTGGCTTTCCCCTCTAGTTCATAAACGGGCATTTCAGGTTCCAGGATCCATTTCAGGTTCCAGGATCCACTTCAGAGAAAGGTCAGGCACTTGCTGAAGACCAGGACCCAACAGAAGGCCCACCCTAACTGGAACTAACTAGACCCCTCTCCCATTCCCCAATGGGAAAAGTGTCTGATGACAATGGAGAAAGAAGAGCTCAAGAGAATCATGGACTTTGCTGCTGCTTCGGTAGCCTCTTCTTACCAAGAAATGGGAGATTGCCCCAGGAGCCCTTGCAGCATCACAGGCATTAACTGAGGCCCTCTTCTGATGGAAAGAAGACTTAGGAGAAGGGAACCCCGCTCCTTTACACTCTGCTGGCACTCATGGAGCTAAAACGAGTGCAAGAGAGCTGTGCTCCACTCTACCCAGCATTGCTGCAACCAGGGCTTTTTTTGTAGCAGCTTATTAGCATATTAGGCCACACCCCCACATTACCAGAAGTGTGGTCATCCAGCCACACCCACCTTTTGCTTCTTATTCTATTTACTTTGTTTGTTGTCAAAACCCAGGGCTTTTTTTGTAGCAGGAACCCTTTGCATGTTAGGCCACACACCCCTAATGTAGCCAATCCTAATGAGTTTCTGCTGTTGGGTGTGGCTTATTATGCTAATGAGTTCCTGCTGGGCGTGGCCAACTCAGGAGCCAGCTGCAACTCCGTTCCTGTGCGTTCCTGCCCAAAAATAGCCCTGGCTGCAACTGGATGAATGAGATAAGGGAACCAGACTGGTGGGGAGAGAAGGCTTGCTGCAATTTGTAGGGGAGAACAGAGCTGTGAAGTAAGGACCCCTCCTGGGCACCCTTTATCCATAAAACCTGCCAGGTTCTACCTGTTGGATCTTCTCTCCATGCTGTCAGGTCCACTTTTGAAATTTGGGGGCTTTTGCAGGATACGAAGTCATCTGGAAAGTGACTGCTTGAAAAGACGTCTGCTGGGAGGTGGCTGAGGTGTGTGTTCTGGCAGAGGATTTGGAACAAGGTTACCTTTGCCAGCTCTTCTCTTTGGCGTGGAGTGAACACCTCTTCATTCTCCCACCAGAATCTGCAATATCAAAGCAATACTGGAAAGCAAGAACCCTTTCATCAGTACATGATAATGTGGTCAATTTATTTATCTCAGTGAGTGAGAATGGAGGGCTATGAATGAAGTCCATAAATTTGTCACACTGCTGCACTAAAGCAGAATCAAAACAAGACTCTTGTCAGAGTCCCAGTCAAATCACTCTTCACACACACTTTCTTAGTTGGAGGTTTTATTAGAAGATATGAGACGTTCAAGGAATGATCTCTTTGTCAGAACTAAAAGGTTATGGCGGGAAAGGTGCATATGGTCACAATCACACATTCCATTCTTACACGTCAGCAATACTACCCAGACCGTGAGAGATATATGGTCCATCCCTAGTCAATCCGATCCGATCTAATTTATTACAGCAAGATCCAGTAAAACAGTACAATTCTGATATAAGAAGGATATATGGTCCATCCCAAGCTAATCAAAGTCGTTTCAAGGACACCTTCCTGTGTGAAAGACGTCTCTTGAGGGTAGCATGAAGAAGAAGAGAAGAGAAGAGATTGGATTTATACCCCGCCCTTCACTACCCTAAGGAGTCTCAGAGCGGCTTACAAACTGGTTTCCCTTCCCCTCCCCACAACAGACCCCCTGTGAGGTGGGTGGGGCTGAGAGAACTCTGACACAAACTGCTCTTTTTCAAGGACAGCTGTGCCAGAGCTTGTGACTGACCCAAGGTCACATCAGCAGCTGCAAGTGGAGGAGTGGGGAATCAAACCCGGTTCTCCCAGATTAGAGTCTGTACACTTAACCACTGCACCAAACAGGCAAGTGGTTCTACTCCTACATGCATTCACTCGCTCCCCACCCCATAGGAATGCAGTGGCAGGCAAGGGTGGTTGATAAGAACTTTGGCACTAAATAACACTCTAGGGGAGAGCAGGGGGGAAAGGTTAACATAACATAGCAATAGATATTAGGAGTTTAAGACACTAATACAACAGGTACAGATAATACAACAGGTACAGACGGTCAGCCAACCCAAGCCTGACATGCTACCCCCCACCCTGAAGCCTCACACACACACCCCTGTGAGGATGCAAATGATGAAATTGCTTGACCAACCGGGCAGTTTTCACATGCTTAGCCAGAACCCACTCATCATGCTGAGGCCCAAATGCTGTAGCAAGCCTCATTTTATACGTGAGTCAAGGATAGCATCCACTACTTGGTGGAGTTCTCCATCAATCAGAACAGGAGGTGGAGCTGGTGGACAAGTATCCCAGGGCGAGGGTCTGGGATCCCTTTTCAAGAGACTGAAATGAAACACAGGATGAATAGAACGGAGATTTTTTTGGGAGGTCTATCTCAACTGCTACCTTGTTAATCACTCACACCACCTTAAAAGGTCCCACTTATTTCCATCCCAGTTTCCTTCTGGGTTGCAGCCCCTTGAGATGTTTGGTCGATATATACACTGAGTCTCCTGGGGACAACTTCCACTCAGGACTGCATTTGCCATCTGCGTAGTGTTTATAGTCTTCTTTAGCTTTGGCCAAGGTTTTTTGCAACACTTTCCAGTTCTTGGTTACATTTGACCACCACAACTGTGCATCTCCTTTTACTGGTTTGTTTAGATCTACTGTAGGAAGTGGGTCACCCTCATAGCCGTGGACTGTCTATAAAACTATGAAGGGAGTTATTGTAACTGTATTCAGCGAAAGCCAGTAATGGTACCCAGTCATCCTGTTGGTAGTTAACATAACATCTCAAAAACTGTTCCAGTGCTTGGTTGGTACGCTCTGTTTGCCCATCGGTTTTGGGGTGGTGACTGCTACTCAAGCCCCACTCAACCCCCAACAACAGTTCTTTCCAGAATTTAGCAATGAACTGAGTTCCGCGGTCGGATATGACCTTCTTTGGAATTCCATGTAATTTTATGATGTGTTGTAAGATCATGGTAGCCATATGCTTAGCTGTGGGGGTGGTCTTACAAGGTACAAAGTGTGCCTGCTTTGAGATCTACCACCACCCATATGACTGTTTTCCCCAGGCTCTCAGGTAAGTCAGTTATAAAGTCCATGGAAATCACAGCCCATGGTCGGTCCAGGGTTTCTAGAGGTTGTAAGCAACCCAGCACCTTGCCTCCCCACCTCTTGCTCATTATACATGTCTGATATCCTTCCTCATCCCTGGCCACCAGAACTGCTGTTGAACCAAATGCAATGTTTTTAAATAGCCAAAAGGCCTGAACAGTTTATCGTCATTACTTTGGGCTAAAATTTCCCCCCGTAATGTCTCTGGTACATAGGTTTTATCCCCCTTTTTTCCAGCTACCGTTGTCTCATTGTTGTAATCCTTCAGTGATTATAGTCTCTAGATTGTGAGGGGTAAAAGCTGCCTTAAACTTTTCCAGCCACTCATTCGGATCCTCCTCCCTCCCTACTTTTGCCTGCTGGCATGTCACTACTGCCCCCCCCCCAAACTGGGCAGGAGATAACATGGTATCAGTGACCTCATCACATTGGCTAGCATGTTGCGGGAGGCGGGAGAGGGCGGCAGCTAAAAAGTTAGCCTTCCCAGGGAGGTACTTTATGGTGAATCGAAATCTAGAGAAGAACTCAGCGAACAGGAATACCGGTCTGTTCCGGGTCTTCTTTGCCATGACTCCCTAGCGCTTCATATTGCCAGTCTGAACTCAGCCACAGTTTAAGAGTTCCCACTTCACACATAACTTTGCATTGACAGGATAGGGGGCGGGGAACCCTCTCAAGCAATCCTGACTATGAACACTGTGTGGTGACTGAAGGTAGCTAAAGCCCTCATTACGTGTTCTTGAAACTATGAACCTTTGGATGTGATGAGGAGACTTTGACTGGAGCTGCAGAAAAGCAATCCTGACTAATAAGTCTTTGAAAGGCTTGAAAAGTTGTTGTCCTTTTTATTTCTATTAAAATGACCTCCTCAGAAGCATCCCTAGAACTATGGATGCCTTCAGACATCAAATATCCCCGATGCTGGCTCCACTATAAAAGAAAAGATATGGGCATACTAGATTGCTTATGCTTCCAGAAATGTCTACAGGCCTTTAGTAGGTTTCCTTCCACCCCATGGCTACAAGGTATTTAAGCCGTAGGTTTGTTTCGCCAGTGGATTTTTTGAGTACACTTTAACAAAGGGTTTCTAGCCACAAGGAATGATTTAAACTAGCCAGTATTGCATTACAAAGAGATAAACAATACTTGAACACAGCCCTCAGGGAAGTCACTAACAGCAGCTGCGCTAGCCCTTACCGGTCCCCATCTCGTAGGGCCTGGAACTGCCTTCCTAGCAAGCAAGCAAGAAGTTCTCCGACTCGGGCATTAGGGAGGAGAGGTTCTGCTATGGCACCAATCCAGATATCAATGTTCTCAGGCATCCCATAGAGCTTGAGCAGTTTGTGAGCCAAGTAACTGCTGTTGAGGATATGCTGTAAGTCAGAGAAAGTGTCAGCCTCTGGAAGACCGCAGAATCTCCTCCAGGAGTTGTAACCTGCAAGTAGCACCAGAAGATGGCATTTGAATGCCGTATCATAGTTCTAAGGGGAGGTGTCCACACTGCCATTGATACCATCCCCTCTCAGGCACCTCTGGGTAGTATCACACACCTAGCAGTCCGTGATCCCGGCCTCTTTGCAGGTTCAGTGCCGCTAGGTCAAGGGACAGGGCCTTCTTGGGATGAAACAGCTTCTCGGTCAACTCCTCCGGCATCATTTGAGTGGGTGTCTGCAGCTTTGCACAGCTGAATACCTCTCCTCTCAGGACAGGATCAATCCCTCCTAAGGTCAGAAATAAAATTGGGGACTTCAAACTCAGTTAAAATAAAGCTGCATAGACCTCCATTATAACTAAACTCTGTAATGTAGGGCAAAGATGACTTTTCAGTTTTCACACATTTTGTATCCTGGTATAGGTACCCAAGTCCAAATCAAATATACGTGCGTACCAGGCCCTCTCAGTGGTCCAGAGAGGCCCAGGACACCTCCAGCTTTTGAAGCCCCTACCCATAACAAAAACAAACAAAAAAATTTATAACACACGTTGTTCATAAAAACAAGCCATGAAACTTACCAAATACAGAATTTTCTTTCAAAAGGTCTACATCTGAGACACCCTTTGAGCTTAAGGCCCAGGCCATCTGGCATCACCCCAATTTTCAGACTGACAACTTTGGTGCAGGGAAGAACTACAGCATGGCTGCGGTACGGGCTCTTTTCTGAAAGCCTGTAGCAGCCTAAATAGCCCAGACTAGCCTGAGCTAATCAGAGCTTGGAAGCTAAGCAGGACTGGCCATGGTTAGCATGTGGATGGGATGAAGAAGCTCTCCAAAACTAACTCCTATACACGTGATCTTATTCTCTATATGGGAAAACCATGCCAAGGATGAGGACTCAGTAAGCATTTGTGAAATAAAAGGATTGGAATTGGCTCTAAAATGTAACCTGAGCCAAAATTTAAATGTCATTATCCAAGCTTTCATTTCCAAAAGACTCTGATTGGTCTCCAAACAGATGACTGCATAGGACATGCATGGGGGAAGGCCTAATATTTTCTGAAGAAATTTAGATTGGACTTTTTCTATATCTTTATTAATAGCCAAAATCCAGATTGGAACCCCATACATCAGTTTAGCACTGATTTTATGATTGAAAACCCTCGAGGCCGCAGGCACATACTGATTGCCCTTAGTATAGTGAAAACGAGAAACTGCAAGCATGGTACTATTGACAGATTTGGTCATTTTCCTTTTTGTGTACTGCCCATCTAAGGCTATGATGGAAATGTACTCCCAGATATTTAAAGCTTGGAACCTGCTCAATCAGGTTACCTCTCACCTTCCATTTATTAGGCTTCCTTCCAAAGGCAATGATTTTAGATTTCCCAAAATTTAAAGTTAGTTTGTTAACATCACAGTAATCAAGAAAGTGGACTAAGAGTCTTTTCATTCCCACCTGAGTCAGGGAAAGAAGTACCGCATCATCTGCGTAGGGAAGCAATGGGAGATGGATCACCCCTAATTTGAGACTATGGCCATCAGTGGTTTTCAAATAACAGTGTAGATCATTCACAAAAAGATTAAATAATAGAGGGGCTAGGATGCAGCCTTGTTTTACTCCAACATTTATTGGTATCTTAGGGGTTAAGTCGCCCTCATTGGAGCATCTCACCTGGCAAGTAGTGTTGAAGTGGAGCTTCCTAACGAGGAAAAGCAACATCTCATCAATACCCAGATCCCTTAGTTTTTTCCATAAAAGGTCTCTAGGAACAGAGTCGAAGGCTCCCTTCAAGTCTAGAAAGGCTGCAAATAGCTTACAGCGCCTCTCTTTGCTGTACTTGCTCACTAGGTGACTTAAAGCAGCACAGTGATCTAGCATTGATTCCCCCTGACAAAAGCCCGCTTATTCTGGGCCCAAAATTTTCTGCTCAGACATCCAGATCTTAAGTTTGTTAGCCAGATGACGAGCATACAGCTTGCCCACAACCGATCGAAGGTTAATAGGTCTATAATTATCTGGACTCTGGCAATCACCTTTTTTAAAAATAGGAACGATTATTGCATTAGTCCAGGTTCCGGGCATTAAGCCCGTCCTATCACTTACAGTAATTAGGGCAGCCAGAAAAGGGACCCACCAACTCGGAAACTCCTTAATCATTTCTGGGAGAATTGAGTCCGGACCAGATGCTTCCCCAGGCTTAATACCTTGACTGAGGGCCTCCACCTCCTCCACCTGCACTCTGGGCAGCCAGTTAAACTAGACTTACGTTCCTCTTCAGTACTAGTGTCAGTTGTCTAAAAAGCCTTAGCAAAATGGCCAAACCACTTATTAACTGAGACTGAAAATTAACAACACATTTCTCTCCCATGGAGCCTGAGATCAAGGCCCAAAATTTCCTCATGTCATTACTGATGGTGGTCTGAACGCTGGGAGCCACTTATTAAGGCCTTGGTGCGTAGGGATGGCTGTGTGTGCACCCATCTACAAATCCTTTGATGTTAACTAGGAAATTATGTCCTCCCCCCCCCTGCCCCACCCAGCAGAGTTGCTTTTTCTGTACCTTCCTCAATGATCCTCCATGGGGAGAAGAAAGACTGATGAAGAGAAATGCTGGGGTGATGGGGATTCTCCTCATAGTTTTCATCCAGACGGGAAAGGAAAGGATTGATGGTGACGTGAGCAAAACGAAAGGCAGCTGTGGCAAAGACATTGGAGACGCTGGGGTCAATGGACTCGTTGTAACCAGAGTATGGAGGCAGGTAAACCTTGGTGGCATCTGGGCCAAGGATCTTCGGGACATAATCCCTCCAGTTTATAATCTACATCCATCAAACAGGGGAGAAAAAGAAAACACATGCCTTAACATAATTTTATGTCCTGTGAAATTTCTTTTTAAAATCCAGCTGACGTGTTAATAATAAAGAAATCTAGAAGGAAAATGAGGATGAGATTTCACTGCATGAAAAGGAGGAGAGAAAGATGCTTTGCCACTCTGGGTAACTACGGATGATCATTTGCCAAGTGAGGATGTACCACAAGCCTGCATGTCACAATTTGTAAATGGGTTGCTTGTATCAGCATCATCCTTCCACGCACTATGGAGAATTTTGCCACCCCACTATGTGCAGGGCCATAGCCAGCCTTCTTCACTCATAAAGGCTGCCAAATTTTCCGATGAGACTTAAAAAAAAGAAGAGTAAATTCTGTGAATAACTCATAGCCTTCTCAAATCCTCTCATCAAGACCACGTGACTGTGGGTATCCTAGCTTCTATGAATTGTTGGAAACTTATACATTAAATAGGAGTATCTATTTTTGCATTCAGAAACTTTTACTTACTTCTTAAATGAACAACAGCTTCTTTAAATATCGCTTTTGTCCCATTTCTGCCCACATCTCCTCCTCCTCCTCACCTTGTTTCTATTTAGGGTTATTTTTTCCATTCTGTACCCTTTCTCCATCTCCCTTATGCTGATCTATCTGCCTCATAGTTTCCCTACCTCCCTGTATCTCTTTTCAGGCCTTACCTGCCCCATAAAACTATTCCTTCCTCTAAAGATTGGGTGATATTTTAAACCCAGACAGACTGGCAACTTTCCCTTTCCCCAAAACCAACCAACCAAACTACGTAAAACCAACTGGATTGCAAATATTCTGAGTGCTTTCATCCTGTGTACTCGTACTGTCCCTGAACAGGCCATATTGTAGTGGCTCAGCCAGTCAGTGTCAGAGGCTTCATCATCCCAAGCCCGTTCGCGGGGAGGGTGGGGTAAAAATGCAAATAAATAAATACAGTAGAGGTCAACTATTTGATTCTGATTTTTTAAAGACAAAACAAAAACTTCTAATGTCAATGCTTTCTCTCAAATTGTATTCCAAAATCACATATAACTGTGCTGAAGGAAAAATGGAAACGATGAACCCTGTTGATTGCTGGCCCTTGGATACACCTCATGCCTCCTTGGTCACACCAAGACTTGTGGTTAAACACTCATTCCAATTACCCGTGACACACAAATACAGACACACAGAGTAACTGGAATCACTCCTCCTCCCACTAACCAATATCGTAACTGGGGTTCAATCCAGGTTTAGAATCCCAGCCAGTGAGTGGAAAATTAACTCTGGTTAACCCACATAACTACATGCTTAAGTCGTGGGTAACAATTCTTGGTGCAAGTAGGAAGAAATGAGGTATGTGCCCCGTGTCTGTTCCCATTTTTCCTGGTGACCTCATGTGACATCTCAATGTAGCCTTGGAGCCTGTCACATTTGATGAAATTGCAGTGTTCATTATAGGGGGAAAAAATGGTTGGTAATATTTCTGTTATCCCTCCCATGAAGAAACTATTACGGAACGGATAGTTTCAGCCCTAACTGAGAGCGCACAACTTTTTGCAAGCATTTCCATGTCCTTGCCAGATGCACTTTGACCCTGGCATTAGCTTGCGGTTCTTGCATATCTTCACAAGAGGCCTCTTGAGATTAGAGCTGCTTTTATACAAACAGACCTGTGTGTTAACATGAGTGAATGTTTCCAGTGTTACTAGCTCTTATCTGATAACAACAGGTTCTGTGTAGCAAGGTAGGGCAATGAGAGGACACAAACCCTGACTCTCGTTATTAGTCAGGCCACTTACCAGCCTCCAGATGGGGTCTGGGGTTCTACCAAAACTACACCTCTACAGACGACAGAGATCAGTTCCACTGGAGGAAATTGCAGCCCTGGAGGGCAGACTCTGTGGCATCCCCTCCCCTCCCCTCCCCAGGCATTGCCCTGTGATCTCCAGGAATTTCCCAAGCTGGAGTTGGTAGCCTTACTCACGTGAAATGTGTTACACTGCTTCTCAAAACAGCCGTGGTCTGTTCACCTCTTCCTTCCCATGCATCAGTTGAAGCAGAACTTATTCTTGTCCTGATATCACAGTGTTGAGTGTTTCCCCCATTCCTGCCCCGCATCATAGGCAGTCAGAAAGTACATCAGTGGCCAGGGACAGTTCCAGGTAGGGTTACCAACTCCAGCTTGGAAAATTCCTGGAGATTTGGAGGTAGAGCCTGCGGAAGGTGGGGTATAATGCCATAGAACCAGTTTGGCGTAGTGGTTAAATGCACGGACTCTAATCTGGGAGAACCGGGTTTGATTCCCCACTCCTCCTCCCCTTGCACCTGGCTGGGTGACCTTGGGCAAGCCGTAGTTCTGGCACAGCTGTCCTTGAAAAAGAGCAGTTTGTGTCAGAGCTCTCTCAGCTCCACCTACCCTACAGGGTGTCTGTTGTGGGGAGGGGAAGGGAAAGGAGTTTGTAAGCTGCTCTGAGACACCTTTGGGTAGTGAAGGGCCGGAGGGTATAAATCCAATCTCCTCCTCCTCCTCCTCCTCCTCCTCCTCCTCC